TATATATAATAAGTATTAACAATATGTTTGCTAAGTTTCTAGTTATCAATATTTACAAATGAATTTTTCGTTACTTTTTTTTTTTCGTTTTTTGATATATAGAAAACAACATTTTGGATCTGAGAGCTGCCAGCAAGACCAACAAGTAAGAGTGCGCTAGTCGGTAGTGCACGACTAGTGAATACCCTGCAGCCAGAGTGAGAGCTATAACATTAGGCGAGCTTACTGAAATTTTAGGAGCATCAAGTTAATAGAGAAACATGTGAATGCTTAAGGAAAAACATATTCGTTGGATTCTTGGGCAAAAGGTTTCAGGTATTCAAAATCTAGAATATTTCGAAATTTTGTTTTATTAGCAAGCATATAGATATACCTAATTTGGTAGTTCTAGCATTTAAAAAACTCAAGTTAGCCGTATAAAATATAATCAAAATAACGATATTTATCGATATAACAGAAACAATAAAAGGTATTAGATGAAAATATTATATTTCAGCTGCGTGAGGTAAACTGGAAACTGCATGAAAAATTTGAAGGGTTTACCTCTTATAGTACTCGAGTTAAAAGCGCTAAAAAGACTACGAAACAGAAAAACGTACATCTCGACAGGGCAAATAAGGATATACTCTGGCTCAGCCAAGTTCCCTTCTATCTGTAACAAACACTTGTAGTAATCCAATCTACCCTACCAGTTTCAATAGCTACAGGGTATTCAAAGTATTAAATTTTGATAAGCGAAATTTGGAATTTTGATTTGGTTTCTAGATGCAACACTACAAAAATACTTAATGCCAACTTGCTGCCACATCTCGTCTAACAACATTATCTTCCACTTCCACTCCCACCTCCTCCTGCTCCTCTTGCTCTACCATAATTTTTTTATTTTTTTATTTTTTATTTTTGAGTATTTCTATTTGAATTTGAAGCTATTCATTGCTGGCATTGAACAGATCCGCCAACGTTAACAGAGCCGCCGATCCATTGCCGCTCGCCTGCAACAATTGCAGCTCTATGGAGTAGGCAGCCGCAGCCGCCGCCGCCGCCGCAGCAGCAGCCGTTGCGGCCGCCGCCGCCGTTGCGTTCAGTTGCTCCCTCTCCAACAGCTGTTAGTCGAGATTGTGCGGTGGCGTGCTGTTCGGTCCGCCCATCATAAACGATGTCGGACTGTGCACCGAAATGCTATCCAGATCCAAGGTGCCGTCGCCCTTCTCCATCAGCCCACTGCCGTCCTGTTTCATCATCATGCGACGCCATTTGGCTCGAGCATTTTGAAACCAAACCTAGAAAAGCGAGCGAGAATATCAAATTATTAGAATTGTATATCGAAATAGTATTTTTTAGTATTTTATAGTATTTTTTGGTATTTCAATTATTTATGAATGAAAGTATCTATTTAAGTATCTGGAAACTTAGTCTCCAAAAATCTAGTATTTTTGAAATCTCTTTTCTTTTGTATTTGGTATATTTATTTGTTCACTTGGCACACCCACCTGCAGCACTCTCTTTGGTAGGCCCGTTTTCTGTGACAATTGCTTCAGATCCTTTGCATCGGGATTGTGATTGATGGCAAAGTAGGACTTCATGGTGCGCAGCTGATGGTGCTTGAACGAGGTGCGCATGCGCTTGGTTCGCGACGAGGCGCTCATGTGGCTGCCACGACCAAAGTCCACATATTCCGTATTGAGATCTGCCAGCAGAGCAAGAAAAGTAGAGAGAGAGAGAGATAGAGATATGATTTTACAGCTCAGTTTTATGATGGGGGTTTTTATGGAGACTGGCGCCAGCTACGGATCAGCCATAAAATGCTCCGAGACATATATACACAATATATATGTATGTATGTGTATATATGTTCGTTCGTTCGTTCGTTTTATGTCTTTACTGTACCTATATTAGCTGTAAAGGCCTCGATATCCTTTGGCTTGCGTTTGCGCGGTCTCCCCTTTTGCCGTGCCGGCTGCGGCAAGCCCGTGATGACATGCGAAGTGGGCACAAAAATGCCCGTAGGAACAATACTGCGACTGGGATCCGAATGCGGACTCGATGAATCATTGTGCGGCGAACCGAATTGTGTGCTATAAGGATATGTGGCGCTCATGCTGGTCGACGATGCTGCGTCCCCCTCGCGCGCTATGCTATAGTGGGTTCTACAATGAGACAGAAAGAGAGAGAGAGAGAGAGAAACTGATTAGTTATCTAGTCAATTGGCCACATCGAATTTTGTACTCACCTGCAGTAGATAAGCGCATCGATAATGCCATATTGATCGCCCTTGGTTAGGGGCGTATGGCAGACGGTGCAGCAGAAACAGTTAACATGAAAAACTAAATTGCGAGCGCGCATTACCAGCTCGTTGGAGCTTATCGATGCCAGGCAGCGGGAACAGCGGCGTGTGCCAAAAAAACTGCAAAGAAAAGAGCGCATGAAGTACAAATATTGAATCAAATACAATAATTCCAATATGAACAAGTCGAATATAAGAGTTTCCAATTGGAGTTGGCTGGGGATTAGAGCCCGCTGACAACTTATATGCATACAAATCAGAAACACACAGGGCCAGTCCAATTGGATAACATAAAGTTCAATACTTTTACTAAGTTTATCCATCAACTATATAGATTTTGTTTATTGGCCACATAATTAACATAGATTAGCATAGACTATCCAATTAGAGCTAAAAACTGCCAATTTACATGTCAATACGATTATCCAATAAATGCAGTTGGTCTATCAGCTATRCCAACAACAACAATTAAGCAATTTATATTACATAAACAATGTTTGATGATTATCCAATAAGATCAAAGTGCTGTCATTTGATATGCGAATGTTGCCAATTAGATAATTTAGGCCATTAATAAGAACAATAATACTAAATACTAGCCAGTTGCAGCATAATTATTTCATAGTAAAATATGTTATACAATTAAGGAATCAATATTTAGTAATATTTGCATATATAATATTTCAATATGCAATACCTAGCGCTTTCCAATTGGTTTTCACAATGGCTTCCAATTGGTTTTCTTTATGAGTATAAGACAATGCGGCGAATTGGTATAGCGCAACTGTCAGTCAGTCTTCTCTTGTATAAAGGGACGCGCAAGGTCAAGCAAAGTGCAGTGCTCCGCGAAAAGTGTGAAAATAAGTAATTAAAATGTGTTAAGTGCTACTTCTTTCGAGTGCAAACTGAATGTTGAGTGATAAGTAGTGCATGTGATATAATGCAATGAAGGAAAAGCGCCTTTTAAATGGTAAATGCTATTTTCTTTTTTTTTGTTAAGCCTCCTTCGCTTGGCGAAAAATGGCGCAAAAGTCTTAAATTTGAGTGTTTTTTTTTTTTAGTTTGTGTGTGTTTTGCAATTGAGCAGATTTAGCAAATGCCAAAAATTTTCATATAAAGTGCAGCGAAAAGTGTTAAGTGCGTAATCTAAATGTTAATTAAGAAATTGCCATAGCTGCAAATTTGAACAACAAGGGCAAAAGATCAATTCCAATGGAAGGTAATGGATGGAGTGAACAAGCACAATGCATATGGAAGTACTCACACTCCTACATGCATCAGCAAGCCAAAGCGTTGTCACACTCATACGCACATACGCAGGTTAGTGCGTACTCACTCTCGGGCATACGAATGTATGCAAGTGCTTTGACACACTCATACATACGCATACAGGCGTACTCTCACACTTCTATACATGCGTATTCTCACTTACATGCGTAGCGTGTAAAGAGAATAGATCAACAAAAAAGATAGGTACAAATATTTCGGCAGCGAAGAGAAAAGACAAAAGCAAATAATGATTAATGGCTGGCGTTGACTTGCGGCGGGCAGTATAAGAGTACTTATACTTGAACTTATGCGCAATATTCGCTGTGCGCTGCATTCGTTTGAGGCGAATTCGTATTAAAAGCAAACTCTTATATGCTTGCAGCAGCAATGAGCGATAATCGCAAGCCACGCCCACTAAACAGCGTGTAAATTATGTTTGTCTGTAAGCTTGACAATTTCAAACCTACAATCACGAAATTTGGAATGTTTAAGCAGAGCTTTGAGAAGAGTCATATAAGAAATTTAATAATAATTTAAGATAGGGTATTTTCATAGTTGGACATAGGTCAGGTGATACATTCTTCAGTTTATAGCGCATGTAAATGGCAATACAGCCTCCACAGAACTCTAAACAGCGCTCACAATTATATGGCATGATAGTAATAAATCTTCGAAAGGAACCAAAAAAAGACTGATATATACAAATATATATGTACAATATTTGTATAGGTTTTGTAGGCAATAATCTTCGCTTGGCCAGACAAAATTATGGCCCCTCAACTAATAACATGCTTTCCGGCTGCAGGAAGCTGGCTGGATTGCCGGTGAGCTACTGTGTCTGCCAGCGCAATCAATGCCAGCGGCAAGATCTTTGGGAGTCTAGACCCAAACGATGAAGCCGCTAACAAAACGCCCACTCATCGTCAACGTCAGCAGCAGCGTCGGAGTTGGGGATTTGAGTCGGAGTCAGCAATAAGCATCAACGATGTCGGAGCATCACTTTGGAGCGTTCGCTACTGTTTTCACTTTCGCAAAATGACAGATCAAAGATAATCAGCCGTGGTCATAATGATCGAGGCAATACACTGAGAGAAAACAGACGTGAGATCTAGATGTGAAAGAGTAAGGATGAATGAGAGGGGCAAGATTGGGAATTCTCTTCCCATTATACATACTCTATTCACTAGTTCAATTTAACAATTTTTTCAACAACGAAACTAGTTCATTAGCTCGAAAATGAATATAATATAATACTTTGGTATTTAGTATTGCATCTTTTCGCTCAGTGCATGCAGTTTCGTGCCAAATAATGATGACCCTGTACGCAGACATTTCTCAGCACTGAAGGTGCGAAAGAGATGGAGAGAGGGGCGACAGCAATTGGATAGTAGGAAACATCAAATGCACAAGACACGCGATTTCTTTGACATTAATCAAAATAATTGGCGCATTTCACTTCAACTTCGCTCAACAGAGTCATTCTCACATTTTGCTGAAAATGAAATGAAAATGAAAGACAAACCAACTGCAACAATTCCATATAAATTTATCATATTTTTTTCATTTGCTTTTTTTTATAGAGCGCGGCGCACTCGCAGCTCGCATTTTCATTTCCCATTCGCAATTTCGTTGAAAATTATTTGGGATGTGACGCCGAGATTTTCTGTTTTGGTTTTGTTTGTTTTTTTTTTTTTTTTTATTTTGTCACAGACGCAGACTCTCACCCGAGATCTCTTTCTCTGTGTGTGGATATACCTTGTGTGTGTGCCGGGGGTAAGCCCCATAAATAATATTAAACATGGATGCAGCATCGTGCGAGAGGCGACGCAATGCCTGGGCTACCAGCTCATAAAACTGTTTCAGCGACACAGACAGACGACGACGGAGACAACGGTGAAGCAGGCGGAGATGGAGACGGAGACGGAGACGACGAAGGCGAAGACGAAGACGAAGACGGTGGCGGCGATGCCTTCATTTCGTGCCACTTTATTTTTGTAAGTGGAGCCGCGTAGCCCTTCGCTCTTCAACCTGCCACGCCCCCTTTTGCGCCTATTGCGCCAACATGAGGCGCACACAGAGAAAGACATGGAGAGCGAGAGCGAGAGCGAGAGCGAGAGCGAGAGCGAGAGAGTGAGAGGGAGCACAAGAGAGAAAAAATGAATTATGATTATTGCCATGTAAAAGAGCAGGCGAAATGTCAAAGTGACAACGCCTAATATATGATTATGTTTTTCGAGCGCTCGAAATCTGATACTCTCACAAGCACACACACACACAGACACACACACACAGGCACGGGCACGGGCACGGACATACTCACACACATACTCTCTCACATACGTTCTGGACAGGCTGGAACCGCAGTCCAGAGAACCCACAGCCTCAATGTCATTTCATGTGATGTGTTGCTGTTGTTGTTGTTGTTGTTGTTGTCGTTGTTGCTGTCGCTGTTTCGGCTTCTGGCTGTGGCTGTGGCTGTGGCTGCGTCTGTCTGTCCATCTGTCCATCTGTCCATCTCTCTGTTTGTGCGTTCGTCTGCCCCACTACTATTTCCCACCGCATAGCGCACATCAATCCCAGAGTTGAGCCAAAAACCGATGCGATACCTAAAAACGCCGGCTGACTGCTTGGGTTAACCACATCGTTCAGCTTTATTGTTGTTGTTGCTGGTGTTGTTGGTGTTGCTGTTGTTGTGCTGCACTTGTTTCGGAGGCGTTGCCCAATACACTAATACACTGAGCACAAAAAATATGGCTATTTGGGATATGTGAGGCTGACATATGATTCAAATGGGAATGAAATTCCTGTTCTATTAGGAAATTATCTATAGGAATATTTATAGATAGAATTAATCATTTAGAAGTGACGTATATATAAGAAAATTGATTAAAATTAAAAATTCCGAATGAATATTGAAATAATTGAAATTGAAAAGCTCTACAGAAAAATCTTTATATATAAAATTTTAAGATTTGAAGAATTAAAAAAAATATTCTTAGATCACATTATTCTTAGATTTAGAATTTAAATTTGAAATACGTCAGTTAAAACTTTATTGCATCATTTTAGAATAATTTCCAGTCAGAATTAAAATTCATATTAACAGAAAATATTTTGTTAATGATTTAAAAACTTTTCAAGAGCTAGGGCTTTAAAATGAAATTAGAGTTTTATGTGCATATATAGATGTATTTATCGTTACATAAAAGCTAGTTCTACTTTCAATATATCTCTAAATATTGTAAGAATTTTCACACTTGATTTGCATCTAGAATTTCTATATATATATTTTCTTCGAGTGCACTTGAAGCGTGTGAAGCTGCGACACATGTGAGCAGCCGCAGCAGCCACATCCACATCCACATCAGCATCCGCATCAGCAGCAGCAGCAGCTGCTGCTGCAGATCTTTGCTTGATAGCCACGATTTTCGTCTCAGTCGCATGAGCTCGTGAGCTTCTGCTTATATTTCACTAAAAAAGTCAAGATTTGTTTTTGTTTTCAGATTTTTTTTCGGGCCTCTGATTACGCAAATAGATATGAAGCTTTTTGGGGTTTGGCTTGGGCTTTGGCTTTGGCTTTAGCTTTAGCTTTAGCTTTGGCTCTGGGCTGATAACAGACAACAGAAATCGTGGCTAAGTGGCGCACTCAAGCAAAGGCCACTCGATGGGCGGGCGCACAGCCCCGGTGAATAGGATCCGTATGTTTGGTAGGCGGAGACCCGGAACATTCAATGAGTTGAGAGAGCTCAGCGCTCTGTGAAGTGTAAACCGACGTGTGGCAACAGCCGCGGCAGCGGCGGCTGCTCTTGTTGTGTTATTTGTTGTACGAACAAAAAAAAAGAAGAAAGATG